GTACAGGTGAAGGCAAGTGGCTCAGTTGAGTCTGCTCTTTCTCTTACTGTGCCTCTGACTGCTGAAGAGGCACCTTCATTAGCATCCACAGATGCACCTGCATGCCAGAGAGAAAGGCCTAGTACTAGCATGGTCTGGGATCATTATGAGCTGGGAGATGATCCTGCGTTTCCTATCTGCGTGCACTGCCGAGCCAAAAATCAGCCAGGGCAAGGAAAAAAAGCACATGACCACCTCGGGGATGCTGAATCATCTCCGCAAGTACCACCCTTTTGCCACAGGAATGGTCCCTGCTTGCTCCACAGCCCCCGTCCCCCCGCAGCAGAGGCAGGGCACCCTGGAACATTGGGGGCAAAAGGGATGAGTTGCAAATGCGAGCAAGGTCACCCAGACCATTGGGGATATGCTTGCTCTGGATGGCAGCTCCTGGCATTGCTGGCTCCATCCTAGCAGGTGCCCACATGCACCACCTTCAGCAGGATGATGGTGCCCTCCCTATACAAAGCATGCAGGGAGCACTTGAGGGAGGAGCTGCACAAGGCAGGTCTGCAGGTGACCGTACACTTCACCTCGGACATCTGGAGCAGCTGGGGTGGAGATCATGCATACCTCTCCCTCACAGGGCACTGGTGTGGCCAGTCAGGCTGTCAGTGGGCTCTCCTTCATGCCAAGGTGATGGATGAGTCTCACACAGCAGCAGAGATAAGGGGGGCCATGAACCGCATGGTGCAGGGGTGGCTGGGCGTTGGGCAGGCTGAGCTCACCTGCAGCTTCATAGTCACTGACAATGGGGCCAGTATGTTCAAAGCAGTCCATGATGCCAACTTTGCTGGTATTTCCTGTGTGGCACACAATTTACATCTGATTGTGAGGGATGCCTTGGAGGGGGACAGGGCTGCCAGTGATGGTGCCAGCAACACCAGCAGGCTTGTTTTCAGATGCAGGAAGATGGCAGGCTACTTCCACCGGAGCATCAAGGGGGGCAAGATGCTGTGGGACAAACAAGCAGAGCTAAATATCCCGCAGCACAGAATCATCCAGGATGTGGAGGCTCAGTGGAACTCCACATACCTGATGCTCAAGAGGCTGGTGGAGCAACAGAAGGCCATCCATGAGCTGGTCTTGCTTGGGGAGATTGGGATCAGCGGCCCCCTGACCAAAGCTGAGAGGGATGCCATCTCCCAGATCTTGCTGGTCCTCAAGCCCTTCCTCGAGGCCACTGAGACCCTCAGTGCTGCTGATGCTTTCCTCAGCCAAGTGGTCCCCATAGTGAAGGAGCTCCACAGCCAAATGGAGAGCTTCCTGGGGGCCAGTGTTCCTGGCTGGGGCAGGCCGCTTTCACCAGATATGCAGGCACTGATGAGGTGGCTGAAGGAGGGCCTTAGGGAAAGGTTTGAACCCTTGGGGTCCAACACAGTGCATATGCTAGCTGCCATCTGTGACCCAAGGGTGAAGGGCACCATATGTGGCAGCGAGACACTGAGTCACTGGAGGGAAGTACTCATTAAGAAAGTGACAGAGGTGAAACAGCGGAGGCGGGGGGAACTGGAACAGGGGGATCCACTGCCTGAACCCAGCCTGCCATCCACAAGCCAGTCTTCTCCTCCACTACAGGCGCTGCCAATATGGGCTAAGGCCATGGCAAACATTAGGGGGTCCAGACCCACCATACCCCAGGATCAGGCAGACAGCCCTCACACCGTGGTGTCTGCCTATCTTGCCGAGCCTGTGGAGCCTCTGGACTGTGACCCCTTGGCCTACTGGGCTACCTGCAGCCTGATGTGGCCGGATCTGGCCACAGTTGCCCGGGATTACCTGTCCTGTCCACTGACCAGTGTGCCAAGCGAGAGGGTGTTCAGCATGGCTGCGGATGTTGTGACCCCCCACCACACCTGCTTGGATCCTGGTTTGGTGGAGTAGCTGGTGTTCCTCAAGGTGAACCTCCCACTGCCGGGGGTTCCCAAGCGCCAGGTGCAGACGGAGCGAATGCTGCCCCCCTCACTCCATCTGGATCACGAGTTTTGTGTGTCAGCAGCGTAAGGTGCAGTTTCCCCCAAACCCCTGCACCTATCTGCATGAAAGTTGGCAGGCTTTGTGGACACCTCAGAAGCTACCATTTCTGCAAGTTTGAGCTCCCTGTGGCTTTATACATAGAAGTTACAGGTAGTTTGCTCTCAAGAATTTGGGGTGCAGTTTCTCTGCACTCCCTGAACCTATCTTGTTGAAACTTGGAATGCTTTGTGGGATCCTCAGAAGCTACCAGGCCTGCAAGTTTCATCAAGATCAGACAAGAAATGCCAAAGTTATAGCCTGCTTCGACCTTCCCCATTATAGCCTATGGGGAAGTCGAAGCAGCTCGCTTGTATATTCGACTCAGCTTTGATCTCGAGTCTAAGTGGACCTGCTTTGACTTGAAGCGGATGGCAAATTGAAATGGGACCCGGTTTAATATTCAACATGGCTGTTGAATCGAATATTACCTGCTCTGCACAGCCCTAGTGCCTATTCCCTTGCTTATTGGTTCAATCTATACGGCTTAAACTAACCTGCAAAGATTGAACTGATTCAGCCTCAGGCTTTTTGACTGTCTGTACTTAGCCTTGCGGTGACCTCAGAACTATGCACAAGCTTTTCATACTATTCTTTGTCACTAATTCAAGGGCGTGCAACTTAAATGGCTGCCATTTTCTCTTCCTGCTTTTTAATCTGAGGCATTGGTAGATATATACAAAAAGTATTTTTTCTGCCCTTATCAGTTTTGTAGAATTGTTTTGTTATCCTTTCTGTCTGTTTCATCACTTTCTCCAAGGTTGGACCAATGGACACTGTAATTCCATGCCCCTGGGATTCACATTTTTAAACTGCTGCTTCAGAAACCTTTCTCAGACTATTTGTGGCTGCACCAGGAAAATTGCCATTAGACTTGGAAACTGCTCTCTGGATGACCGTGAAAATGCTGATGCATTTTTTGTAAGTGCTACAAAAATGTGAGTTTTGAGCTGGGGTTGATTATTCATTCCAAAAAATTGGCAGAAGCTGCACCGACCAATTTTCTGGGAGGATGTAGCCATGCTGGTTGGTGCTTTCTCTTCCAAGCAGAAAGAAAACAAAATAAAACCTTCTATTTTTACTTGAGCCTTGAGATTTTTCTAGTGATCACTTTCCTGAGATCACTTGCCTGAGCAATCAGTCACCTGAGATCTGGCAGCAGCAAGGAATAGCTCTAATGCACTCTGTGCTGAAGAAGAATGGAGATAGGGTATTGCAAGGAAGAATCTCATTCAGATACTGTTTTCCTCTTTGGTCCCTCTTACATTACTTCTAGACTGATCTTGAAAGTGCTCCAGTTAACTACACCATACCTGCTCTGCAATCTACACACAAAAAAAAATATAGTGTTGCCAATTTAGAACGGTGCTTGGGTTAGGCCAATAAGTTCTTGGCCATGGCCACACTAAGACAATTATATTACAGCCATTTTAAAATGTTAGAGGCATGGAACAGCATGCCATACTTTAGTAAAGTACTGTCTAATATGGTCTAGATGTGACCTCTGTATCCACCCCTGGTATCAGAAAAGGGAAGCTGTTTAGGATATAGGTACTGTTTTTTTTAAAACTTTAGTAGATACGGAGGAAGGAACTGGCACCTATTCCATGAAGCAGAGGGAAATGGAAGATTTTGGGTGACATTTTGGAACATTGTATTTCTAGAAATTCCTGTAGTGGAATTTCCATATGTTAATAAAATTCCTCATGCCATGTTAAAAAAAAATCTTTCTGGTGTTCCTTGTGATTTTCTCATAACGTTGTACATCTTACCTATTTTTTACATATATAAATAAGAGGAAAAGAATGAATTAATAAAGGCATGAATATAGAGAATAGCCTGTTTGTAGTATAAACTGAAGGTACATCTTTGCCTTTGAAACAGTTTTGGTTAGCTTAGTAAAGACAGAAGGAAAAAGAATCACAGGAAATCTCCACAAGTGTAAAGTTAAAAATAATGCTCAGAACCTCATTATTATCAGAGTATCTCATATCTAGCTATTTATAGTGCATTGGATGGGTATGAATGGAAGTGCTTTTTAAAACAATAGAAGTGGCAACATTTGGATTATCATTAGGCTATGTTCAGGGAACAAAGTGCCATGCAAAATAAATAGTTTATCTAGTTCGGCTCACCTACATCAGATAATGTTACAGGCCTGTAGGTTAATTTACAGGAGGAAAAGTAAGGGGAAAGTAGCATCTGGTGACTACAAGAAAATCTGAAAAGTAGAACAGAGTAGAGCCAATTAGATGATTTTAGGGCACATATATCAGGAGGAAGGTGAAGAAGACGGCAAAAAGAACTGTAAGGGGAAGTAAACTGACTCAGACTAGGCACCAATAAATAGAAGAAACTTTAAAGTGCAGCTTTACATGACATCTGTGCAAAATTGGCTGTATTTAATAGAGAAAAGGCACAGATGGAGGGTGAGCTATTCAGTAATGGGTCTAGGATAATCATTCATAGTGAAATAAAAATGACAGAATGATTTGTCCATTCTCCCCCCAACAAGCCTGTTTATAGTAGTTAAGTGAATTATAGCACCAGTGAAACAGAGAAGCACCAAAGTTATGCTCTTTATCTTTGTGAAGACATGGTTCACCAAGTCTTAGCAGCTTGGAATAGACAGTAGAGATTTGACCTGAGAAAATGTGGCAGTATCTTAGGTTAGCCAATTGAACAAGGACAAAGAAGCTGCCAGGAACAGATTACATCATGGTGAGAAGTATCTTAAAATACTGACCATTTGGCATCTAACTAAGGTTTATGTGGAACACACAGAAATAAGTACATCATTAGTCATTAAGGAGGTACACAACACTGAATATCAAATATGGAAGTTGAATTCAGAAACCACAGGTTCCATAATATTTTGATTTGTATATTCACTCCTTTTTAATGTTGCCATTTTTCTCCAGACTTCCAATATACTCTTTTATGTTTTTCACAAAAACTCATGAAGCTGACATCAGTCCTCTCTTCCCCCACCTCACTTTCTGCCTGTGCTCCTATAGTTATTTTTCTTTTTAATTTCTTATATGTTTTATGTCTGAGTCCCAACTAGACTTAGAAACAATACATGCACATCAAGCTATAGTTAAATTGTAGGTTGGATACTGTGTTCTGATCAAAGCCCAAATTTTGACCTGAGATACATTTAATACTGTAGTTATAATTTGCATAGAATTATGTTTTGCGTCAAAGCAAATGTTAAATGTGTTTGTAAGCTAAAACCTTTGATTGGGCCTTATTTAGAATTAGGTTATTGGCTGAGACTAAGGGTATTGTTACTCATTGCACTTTGCACATGCTAACTGCATTTACAATGCTAGGATAAAGTTACATGTTACACTTAGACCATACTAAATCTTTTGAATGTTAAGCAGTGTTAAAACATGCTATAAGCAATCACACATTAAGGGTTACTACTGTCTCTTGCCTGCACAGCTCTGACTTGCCACTGTAGACTTGATGAGTAGGGGTGTGGACAGGCACCAGGACTCCTGGCCTCTATCCCTGCTCTGAGTGAGTGTGTGGAGGGGGGAGTGGGGTTGGAGTGGTACATCTTGAGATATTGAGGGACTGCACATGGTTTGTCTTCTCTTTGTGAAGAAGATGGAAGTGACTCTAAGATAAGGTAGGTAGCATGGCCCAGAGTTAACTCTTGCCTGAAGTGGCGTAATTTTGAGATGCTCAGAGGACACTTAGCACAAATTAACAAGCTTTAACATGTGGCTGCTTGTATTTTAAGTGCCCTTAGTGGTCTAAGTGTAGTGTATAACTGCATTCTTAGTGTCCAAGCAGTAAAGCATGTACTAATTGCTATCATAATATGTCACCATAGTAAAATTAAGTCTTTTCCAGCAAGGAGTATCTCCACATCATATTACCTAACATGTTGAGCTAACATTGTTCTACTCCATGAACATATGATCAGGGGACTCTGGTGTGGTGTAGGGCAGGGGATGATAAAGCTATTTGTCAGGCTCCTAGCCTCCTTACTATGTGGGAGCCTTGAACTGGCAAAGCTCCAGTGCAGTGGGGGTGGGGTGGGAGCCCAACAAGCATCCTGGCAAACAGCCAGAGATGGAGAGAGAGCAGAGGACTGTGGGATACTGGGTGTTTTCACCACCCAGGAGAATCATACAGGATACAAGTTAGAGGAGACTCAGAGGAGATTTAATAGAAGCCTTCAACCACCTGAAGTGGGGTTCAAAA